ATTCGAATTGGCCACAGAGAAACTCATCTGGAAATACCGCCAGCATTTTCAAGTGTTGGCCAAAGGCAAACAAAATGCAAATGGCTCAAGGACGAAAGCCACTCACTTTTCAGGATATCAGGATATCCCCTACTGCAGGATATGCAAAATGGAAAATGCCAGGGGGACAAATCAATTGGCCGGCACCGCAGCTAAGCAATAAAATTGAGCTGTTTGTGCGCGCAACAGTGCGGATACGCATTTTATTCCAAGGGCAGTGCCGTCGATCAAAGAAAAAGTGTTTCTGGTGGCGATGTTTGAGAGAAAATGTTGCTTATCTACCACTTTATAAGGCATATAGTGGCCCAGATGCCTGATAAAACGCCAGCAATCTAGCCTATCTCGTGTTCCTACAATTAAATCAGTGTGGGGGTGGCGTAAAAAGCTATTGACACATTTAATTGACGCATCTATTTTTGGCCCCAAACCAAACAATACAAAATACTGCCATATTTCTCACACCGAAAAGCCCACAGAGAGAGTAGCTCAAAATGTGGCAACATGCGTAGTGACGACAGTAAAAAAATGTTGCCCTGTTAAATGGCTTGGCAAACATTTTTATAGCACCGCTGCCTGTTTTCTTGGCCTTTATTAATATTTATCGCCAATATTGGTTATACAGCTGCGGTCACAATAATCACATGTCAGAGTATACAACTCATAGCCCATTTAATTATTTTGCGCGAATTTTCATCAATAAGGCAAACTTTGACGCGTGGCTGAAATCGGGTTGGGTTGGGTATTAGTTGGGATTTTTGTTTTGCTGGATTTATGAGTGGGGCATTAGCCTGGCATCCGAAAACACCTTGAAGTTTAACACCTTTGCCGACAACTGTACGCAGACTTTTTGGAGTGTTGAGCCAGAGTAAATGTTGATTTTTCCAAAGGGTCTTAGCCAAAGTGGTTACCACAAATTAGTACTTTGGCTGCAAGTGTTTACATCCGTTAATGGTTATTTATGGTAAATAGAATGATTACGGAGATGTAGTAAAGCAGTAAACAGGCAAATTAATATTTATTAAATTTTCATTGAATTTTTCCGCACTTTACTTCGACTGCCAATCATTTCGGAACATTATCTCCGAGGAAAAGCCCCATATGTCGGTGAATATTACGCTGCAAAGGCTTTTACACTGACATGTGCACCTTGAACCCGCCGTCCATTGTCGCCAGACAATAACAAGCCCGGGGAGAGGAAAACCAGTGGAAAGAAACGAAAATCATATCCGAACTCAAGTGAGCGCCCTTCAACCCGAAATTCCCAAAAGCCAATGCACCGGAGGTTCCAGTAAATAAACTGGAAAGAGAGTGCAATTCTTGACGTGATATTTGCAAGATTTTTAAAGTGCATATATTATGAACGCTATTTGCATATTAATTATTTGCACGAGTTTAATGAACTGCACACTTAACCCCTGATTTCCTCTTTGGGAAGTGAGGCAAATAGTCGGAGAGCTTTCTCTGTTTACCCCGCAAAGTTTGTACACATTTTTCTTATTTTGCTGATTTTTTTTAATAAAAGCAAATTAAGCGAGCTGAAATAAACGCAATTTCCCAGCATCAGAAGTTAATGTAATATGTAAATGAGTGGCTACACATCAATTGAATTTGGCGCCGGGCTATAATTGCATTTTAAATGCTTTTAAGGTCAGAATGCAGCTGCCTTTTTGGCCGGTGGGCAATCAATCAGCCAACCTTGTGTGCATACAATTTTCGCCGGCCAACGCGGCGTATGATGGATGTACGAAAAGTGCATAATTGGATTTGTAATCAATAATGTGTCGGGGCAAAAATAAAGAAGAATAAGAGCCACTATGATCGATAGACAAAGGAGGCCTTTGCAACAAAATCTCAATAGTTTTGTGCCACTAACCCAGTTTTTTTGGCAAGGGCCGAGGGTTCGAAACTTGTTCGTGCTGAGGTCAAAGTACGCCAGGACATTAACCCACCACTGACCTGCCGGCCCAGTAATTCAATCCTTTGCTGGGCAGCATCCTCGGCGGAGATCGCCTTGAGGTATTAAGTTCCTTTTAGCCACGTGCCAGCATCCTTTGGCCCCTCAGCCTCCCCGCTTTCCTCGATCGCTAGTAAATATCGATGAGGGGCTGTTTTTTTTGAGGCTCTTCGAGCTGATTTATTTGGCCGGCTCACACTGTGCGGCTTGTTTGTCCACTTGACGCTCATCACGTTTGGCTATTAAGGCCATTAACACCTCCAGTCATCTGGGCCCGACTCTTCTCGTCTCGCCGGCCTTTTGACTTGGTTTCGTTTTTATGGCTATTTTGTTTTCTTGGGTTTTTTCAGCAGGGTGATTTGGGCTTATGGAAATATGGGTGCTTTGCTTTCGCAAAAAGGCTATAAGTTACTCGGTAAGATGGAGGGACGACTTGGCCTTGAGTTTTGATTGTTTCTTATTTGCATTGTGGCTTAGGACATTTTTTATTAATTTTCAGATGGGTGGTTTTGCTTGCCTTACCTAATAAAATTCTATTTTTGCTCTCTATGATGTCACTGCATAGATTATAATACTATCTTGCATAAGATACAAAATTGTATTTCCCTGTCCCACTGAATTTTATATAAGTTAATTCAAGGGAACAGTACATAAATAAAGTCACTTTATAGAATATAGGAACATGGACCTTATGTTTGGAATATTCATAAAACAGGGTACCGAATCTAAAGTGCAACATATTTTCAAATATTTTAAATTAACTGAAAACTATAAAAATTGTTTTCTTCCTCATAATTACTGATTGTCAGCCTGTTACCTTGCAACTTGTTGACGGAATGGAAAATTTGTAATTTAAAATGTTTTGAAACTGTCAAACATGTCATGTTCTCACAGCAATATTGGCGTTTAGTAAGTGGCCATACGTCAATCACACTTTGCTGGCTATTTGCAGCACAAATATTTCACCTATTTTTAACTTGGACTATAATTTCACTTGGCACAATCTATGGGGCTAATCAGAGAATTTCCTGAAAACATCATACCCACACTGCTTTTTAATAACCCACTAGATAGCGTGAAGGCATGGTCTAGTAAGTGTGAATAGTTATCAATTTGCTAATGAAGGCTTTTATAAAATTGGTATATATGGCATATGTACACCGTACTGTGCAAACAGCTTAAGTTGGTCTTCAATATTAGTAGTGACGCACGAAAGGTATGGCTGTGGAATAAATTGAAACAATTTTTGTTAAAATATTTTAATCTGATTTTTATATAGTTTCTTGGAACTGGTCTAACAACCTTAATAATTCCCCTTAAAATCGCATAAATTAGTATTTAATCGTATCCACCTGAAAAGGGTATCCCCTGGCAGTCTTGTCTGTAGTCAAAGTAATGTAAACAAAAACTCCGGTGATTTCACTCTTGCGCCACTTTTATTGGACCTCAAAGTTTCTCACATCGTAAAACCAAGAAATATAAACATCATTTGACATGCGTGACTGGGGTTTAAGCTCGTGTTGAACTTTTAAATCATGCTTCTGCGGCGTGGTCATAAAAACGATTCCAGAACATCCCGAAATTAAATCAATTTCGCAATCGACTGACCGTCGCTGAGTTTCCCAATTGACTTACTTGAAATTTATTGCATCCGTTGGGTTGACAACAGCCCTGCGACATTCGTAAATCAATGGAACGAAAGGCCTTAACTATGCTCAATTAAAAATTATATCAGTCGATTTGATTTGTCACTTTAGAAGAAGGGTAATAGAAGTTGTCATGGAAAAGTTTAGCCAGCTGTGGAATGAAATAATGCCAATCGATTTCAGAAGTCTTTGAATGAGTGGAAGAATTACTAGAGTGAAGTTGCTACTTTTCTTCGAACAAGATCGAAATTAAATTGAGGATTTCATAGCTTTTTCTTTTAGAAATTCTTTTCGGCAACCAATTGGCCCTTGGACAAGAGCAACTTTTCTTAATTGACTTTCAATGTCAGCGGCGGCACAGAAAGTTTAGAGAGTGCGAGCTGCGAAAGTTGTTATTTAATTTGCTAATTGTTGCACTTAAGGCCGAGAAATGCGAAATTTGCGTGCCTGCGACGGGAAATTAGTCAACAAAAGCCGAGCGAATGCTCAGCGGCCGTCTTTGAGATCTTATAAGCGCGAAAATACATTAAGCTGTCAATCTTCATTCTGCACACAAGCTGGCAAAAGTCAGGCGACTGCAAATATTTTGGCAACGCTGAATGGCCGGAGGGGCAAAGGGCGGGGGTCAGGGTATCCACTTTGAGTGGCACTTTTTGAACTTTGGCATCGCCGAAGTTTGGCTCAATTGATTCGCGTTGCCATCTGATGCAGACAGACACATCGAGAAACTCAGTCAGCTGCCAAAGGGCAACAAACAATTTCGCTAATCGACTTAAATGGAGGCACTCAAAATGCTTTCTCAAAAGCCCCGGCAGGTAAGAAATTCGAACTTCACAATTTGCCATTGACAAATAAGGGAAAAACCGATCATCCACTGGGTTCAATGGGTCGATTGTTGAATATTAGCTGACATAACTTGAACTCCGCCCCTCGTTCGCTCCAAAGGTCGAATAATCAGTGTCCTTTTCAGGTCGAACATCATTGATTTATGACCGGCAACCTTTGTGACTTTGGCCAACTTCTTTTGTCACTGGAGCCACCTTTCGACCTTCATTAGGCCAATAGAATATTGAGTTAGGTCCGAGCGAGACACGCCCCAAAATATATACATACACTTAAGCTGCAACTGACAATAAAGCTATTATTATTGTTTGCGTGTGGGCAGACAGGAAAATATTTCCCCCATTTTATTGACACAACTATTTAGCAAAACGATTGTTTGTTGCTACTTTCCGTTGTCTGCCGGGATCGCATAAAATGTTAATAAGTCAAGACCAGGCACAAGACGATGCCTGCCTCGTATTTTCCATATTTCCCCCGGCCTGCATATTAAATAGTTATTTCCCCTGTTTATTTTGCAGTTTTCCCGCCCGCAATGTCAAGGACGTTGTCGCATTGTCGTTGCCATCCACATCCACTCGGTCGAAGCTAATTTCATTGGGGGGCAAACGAGGGAATCGGGCCAAAAGGGTAAGCAATTGCCAACAATTCCCAATGGGAAGCGAAAATAGTAGGTATAGAATATCGCAAAAGGGCAATGGGCCAATGGATACTCTAATTCAGGCCGAGAAGTGCTCACTTTAAATTCAAAATTCTCTTCAATTATTTAATCTAGTCGGTTTTACTTTAGGCTATTGTGTGCTAAAAGCATCCTTGAATGCATTTCCATACTCAAAAGAATGGAATAAATGAATTTTAATCCCATTGAAGGCTGAGTAAGGTAAATCATGGCCAATAAAAGCCAGTAAGGCAATACTTTGTTATTAGTTCTGGGGAATATTTCGAAAGTTTTGTATACCCTTATTTGGAAAGATATCAACGAAATATTATACTGATTTCAAGGTTCTTATAATTTTTGAATGCCTTAGAAGTTAACTCACCTTAATTTTGTTGTTGTTTATAAGCTAACATTTTTACAACATACTGTTTTTACAGAAATGGATTTATATATTTAATTGAATTCCCCTTTCATAACTTAATATTTTACTATCTTTAATTCCTAAAGAGTATTTATTTGTGGGCTTGGCTAATGCTACCACCCCTCAGTGCTAAAATAACAGCTTCCACTTTGTTCTGCCCGAAATTTCAATCAGTTTTCCTCACACATGTTCTGGTCCACAATATTGGATGGTTTGTTTGTGCGAGTGGCTGTCGGAAATCATAGTTATTTTTTGGGGGCACGTGCACTCACACACCACACCCATCCTTTTTGCCTTCGAAATTTTATGAATTTCTCCTGACAGCTGAATCCGAAAAAGTTACATAAAGCCTCATTGTTTCGGCTGGAATTGCAACTTTTGATTAGCACTCTGATGTAATAATCAACTTTGGGCCTGTGTGTGTTTATGGAATTTGTTGGGCAGGAACAGCGGTGAGCCTGGCATTGTGAGGGGCTTACATAAATACATATTATCGACTGATTGAAGGGTTCCCTTGTGCTGGGGCTCTATTATTATTGGCCTGCCAGACTCTGGAGATGCCATCGAGCACTTGAGCTTATTTATTGACCCTCCTGCCCCTCGAACAGGCTCTATTGTCGAGTGGCGCCTATTGAGTGAGTGTCTTCGGTTTTAATGGCTAAACATTCCGTCTCTGATCTGAAGTTTTTCCGCAAGTCGAGCGTTTTCCGTGCGATTTTCGCTAGTGTTGCCAGGCGAAATGGGACTTGAGGGTCTGAGGAACTACATCGCTAAGTAATTGCTAAGAGTGCTCTTGTCGGACTGAAGCGGTAAAGGTCGCGCACAGCTAATAAAGAAGTATGTCTGGATTCATTTTGTTCATTGGCCACGGGGGAATTCCCTGCTATAGATTAAGGTTAAGCCGAAAATACCACTACTTCGTTCTTAAAGCTTTTGGAATTTTTCTGCCTTTCTTTGTCAATATAATATACTTCTTGGCTAACAAAAAAAAGGAAAACCAAAATTAATCTAACTAAATGGAGAACATTTCACGGAATCGTTCCCATTTCCTGATAAGTTTCTTCAGAATTAAATGTACTTTCTAAACATCTGGTGAGCTTGGCAAGCTAAAATTAAATTTTATAAACAGGAAAGAACAATTAAAATATATTTCGTTTGCTTAAACTGAATTTGAATCTATATTAAATCTAAAAAAATTTATATTTATTTTGTTAAATGTTTTCATTAATATTTATAAATTTTTGTACACCCTTTCCCTAAAAAGGTCTAAGTTTCTCAAGATCTGTGAGTGAAATCCAGCTGCGTGTTAAATTTCTTGACCATTGTTCCGCAGTGGGTTAAACGATAAACGTACTGCCGATTGCGTCTCCGAAGATGAGTAACGCTCGCAGCTTATCAAAGGCCAACAGTTTTACCCCATATAATAGTCCGCAGATAGACACTCCCCCGATTCATGGTCCCTGGCCGTTGGCTGCTCATAAATGTCAAAATAACAATTGCAGTGCCTTTGAAGTGCAATCTTTTCGCTCAGCTTGCACATTTTATGGCGACTCACGCTCCCTGCACTTTGGTTTTAGCTCCGGCCCAACTCAGCTCAGAACTGGAGACGCCAATGGCTCATATTTCCTAGCCGGACCCTGTTTATGATGATATATTAATGCCCCAACCAAGAGGTGCCATAAACCGAAGCCACTTGATGCCACGCCAGCCACTCGATTGCGGTGTTTCGGGGGCCGGGGACCCGTCGAGATTGCTGCTCTCGGGATCCACATGCCAAACATATATTAAACGCTTAGTTATATGCTACTTAACACTTCCCCCATTTATTTCTGCTCGAGAGCGAAAATTGTTTATTTTCATTGCCATAAATTTTGATGGTCAAGCTGGTCAGCCCATAAATCTTCCGGTTTAATCCCGCTGGCTCTTTGCATTTGAGTTGCCCCTCGAATGGCTTCAGTTGTAATTGCTTTTCCAATCAGCAGCATTGACTATACCGCCTCTGGACCCTGGGTTTGTGGAGAAGCCAGGGAAGGAGGCGCCTCATGCGTCAGCTAAGTGTCAACTTTTTGAAATTGCTAATCATGCGAGGAGGAGCACACAAAGTCAGCTATTCAGTTCTCCTCGGTCTGAGGAAGGGGCCAAATGACGCTATGTGTTTGTTCGATAAACAAAATATTGTGGCTATAGAGACGTTTTAGTACGCACACACAATAAGCGATATATGGGCAATATATATTTTTTTCCTATATTTTGCTTTATGGTTAGGCCACACTCACACACTCTCTTGCTTTTAAAAAAGCGGAAAAAGGGGAAATACGAGCTGAAAAATAGGTCAACGGGTGTGAGAAAATCGTTTTTCATCATAAGGTTCAAGCTACATGTTCTCCCGTTTCTTAAAGCACAAATTTAATTTGGGAAATGTGGTGGAATTTCTGTCTTGGTACTGGCAAGTACATGCCTAAGGTTTTATTTCACTTTTCTTTAGGTAAGTAAAGGAAAAGTTGGTTCTCTTTAAAAGGCGCAAATTTAAATATTTTATTTATATATAGCCATTTTATTTATTTTCTTTCCAAACTGAAGACGTCACTTTTCGGCTATTCTTAGCCTTTGATTTACCACAAATAAATGAATGAATTCGTGTGTGTGGGAACGCACTGAAACTTTTTCAGTACGCAAATTACGTATACGCCGTGCGGTACGTCCGCATATTAACTCACGCCGTGCGTAGGCAATATTTCCTCCTTAGCCAGAGAGAACTCATTGAAATACTCGCGGCCATTGTATAAATTCATTCATTAGAAAAAATAAATTGGGTTTTTCGTTTTCGTGGCTGCCTGCCAAATTGCCAACAAAGCGGGAAGGAGAACTTATCTCACGTTTTCGCAGATTATTTTTGGTGGTCGATAAGCCACTGGCCACTTTCTAATCACGGCCAAGTGATTTGGCACTACCTTAGGGGCTTTCGCCCGTGTCAAAGTTGGCCTCATCTATCACGGATGCGGATGTTTTCGGTGCCCAACTGTCCCTGATACTTCGCTCCTTGATGTCATATCGATTTTCACCAGGCCACATGCCCCCATACCACACCATACCATACCATTGCGAAACCCTTTCCCCGGAGGTTCTTTCCCCCTTCGAATTGGACACGAAAAAGTGTCAGTTGACTGACGGAACTCGTGTTTGCGAAATTGTTCGATTATCTTGTCTGCGAATTGTTTTCTTCTTCATTTTTCCCTGGTGTTTTTTACCTTTTCATGTACTTTTCCCTCTTGTTGGTTTTGGTTTTCGCCTTTTGGCTTAAAGGTGTTAACTTTATCGGGCCCACTGGTCAGCAATTGTCCGTATTCTGTTCATTTACAATGCAAACACTTGTTCGCTGGAATGAAAAGCCATTTGATATTCATCGCTCCTCGGTTGGTTGCCGTTTGAACCATTTTATATAATTTGTTTTTCATTGAAAAATATGAAATATAAATTCCCTAGCGATATGCTTTGGCACGTACCACTGGGCCAACAAACAAAAGAAAAGAAAATAAATAAATAAGCGAAAACAAAGTATCAAAAACAATTGAAGTGAATAATTCGGTTGAATTCGAGTAATTGGAGACTTAAAGTCGGGGATTGGGACTAATGCGTTACAAATTTGATTTCTTTTAAAGGAATTTCACAACTTTCAGAGAGAAGAAAGAGCAACGAGAAAATGTAATTGCTAGTGAGGGATTTCCTGGGGCTTTTAGTCGGAATTGTATCTTAGGCTTTTAATACGATATCATAAATACCAGGCATGTTATCATCTTGAGGCCTCTAGAATTGCGTAATCCAGATAAACAAACTATTTATTTAGCTTTGCACTTCGTTTTCTGGGGTTGTTCCCCCTTCTTGAAACAGGTTAATAAATACCTAATAATGGGTTCAATTTGGAATGTTCTGGTCGAATCGGATCCGCCTTGTCAATATCCGGAGTAAATAGCACCCATTAGGGCCATTACTTAGAACCGCATATGCATATGCATAGATCTAAGGCGATTACTTTTGAACCGGGGGTATTATTAAAAATGATACCTACGTCATGGGTCAAAGTCTGCACTTTATTCAAGCACTTTAAGATAATTTCGTTGAGCACATTGTTTTCTATGGCGTTTCAGTGACTGCCAGTGGATATTATTTTTGTTTAGCTTTTTTGCAACCTTGCAATTTTCAACACGATTGCATTTTGTGACCGCAACAATGGCAATTTAAGGGGGAAGGGGCGGGGAAAAGGGGTCGCCAGGTGGGCAACCTGAAGCCAAACTGGCAACCAGTTCGCTTAGAACCCGGGTCAATGAACCCTCAACTTTCGTTAGAAGAGTTGGCAACCGCAAAAAGCGATTATATTAACCACCAGTCCATAATTAAGGCAATTATTACGTTCGATTTTTTGCAACACGATGGTACCTTTAGCTTTGCCGCCCCAAGAAACTAAAGTTTTTATAGTCAATGCAAGCGAAGTGCAAGACCGCACGTGTAAATAACTAACTTTGGCTTAACGATTCCCAAGCCAAAAGCCCCAAA